CTCTGTGGCAAGCAATGTTCTTAAAAACCGTCCAAGAATACCAAGAACCAGTCAGACTTGAGTTCCACTAAATCGCATGTTTGTCTTGGCATTCAGTATTAATGCCAGATTTAATTATGAAAACTATTTAGTCATCTTGATTAAAACTATGTAGGAATTTGGAAAAATCCTTGTTCTATATATGAAAATATTGTATGTGCATTAATGCTAAAATTATACTAAAAGTTGAGGTAAATGTACTAAAATTTTAATTGTTTTATGTTAGAGTTGTACATTTTTTCCCACTTTCCCATTCTATAATGTTTATAATTTATTTTGTAATTTCAAAGTAGTAAATAAATTTAAAACACTAAAATGCTGTGGAAATATCTTGGTGAGTAAATGTATAACATTCTACAGGGTTAAATTCAATATCAAGAACTGCCTCTTTCTTCTAAAAGAAACATTAAAACATGCTGAGAGGCTGAATTATACAATTACATTAAAAACATGCTTATTTGAGTCCTTCACAGATGGAAGAGATCCAATCCTATTGGTTTTAGACACTTCCTCTTTAAAAATGAAAAAAAATCAGATCATTAAAATAATTTTTTGACTTGAATGCCAAATATGTCAATACAGCCACTCACATCAAATTGAACGCTTGATTCTCTAAATGGTAAGAGTACATGCATAATGAACATTTGCATACCTAACCCTGACTTGTATCCCACATATATTAAATAAATAAATTATTATAAATGTTTTTAAAACATAAACAAGCAAACAAAAGCCCAACACTGACCATAGCAGTCAACTAATTTCTAAAATCTTCTAAAAGGAAAAATTAAAAGAGGGAAAATTTACTTGGACACCCTGGTAAATTTAGTTTCACTTCACTGTTGACCACCCATAGAAAAAAGGGGAAAGTTCACTAATAATGATACCAACTACTAATAATTCAATTACTGAATTGTTAGGGTTGTTTAGTGGCCAGCCTAAACATATAGAGGAAAAGAACAAACATTGCTGATACAATGTTTTTTCTTATTTTCCCAAGACTTCATTCTGTATTGACATGAGGCTCACACCTATTATCCTAGAGACTTACATTCAATTTGACACTTACCACTACCAGTCACAATTTTGCAAAATTATAATCAATAGGAAGTTAATTAAGGGATAACAGAGAGAGAAATACCAACCGGATTCATGATGGGAAATAGACGACACACTCAATTAAGACATTTCAAGGGAAGTTTCTTTACAGAAGTTTGTTTATAAAGATATAACCAGTGTCTAGGGAATCACAACAGAGAGTGCAGGATGCTGGCCTAGTAAGAGAAAAGGAGTTGTGACCACTTTGAAGCCAGAGTGAAGTGGAAGAGGAAGCCGTCCAGTTAGTTAGCGTCTACGTGTTTGATGTGTCAAAGGTAGCTATGAGAGAAACAAATGTTTGCCGAGAGATCCAACCAGATTGAGATGAATTCGCAAAGCGAAAACCTGGTGAATACATACCCTGATCTTCACTATTCCTTTCTTATTATCTGCTGATGGGGTTTCCCATGGTCAAAGGGGGTACAGGAGACCACTGTTCTAGACTGAGAGGCTAGCTGCCAGGAGAGAGGGCGCCAAAAAGGGCCACACAAAGGATATCCAGCTGACCAATTAAATACAACCCAAAGAATGAATTCAACAGGATTTGAGGTCCTTCTAAACTAGTGTATCTGATGGGTCCCATGCAGACAGGGTTACCAGGGTTGACCTGATGGATTAGCCAAATATTTGCAGAGATGGCAAAGAATATGGAGTCGTTCAAGATAGCAGATTTCAAAACGAGAGACCTCCCATTTTAGAGTGATTCCCCATAGACTTTGATGGCTCTTCCTAGATTACTATTGAGTCAAATTTTTAAAATCTTAGCACTCTGGGAATTATTTTGAATTGGCAAATGCCCCTTGATAAACATTTATCCACGAGAGAATGTCATACAAATACTAGATTCAAATGTTAAGTCTGAAAATGGGTTACAGTCCAGACTTTTTACTGGAGGACAAAACAAATTAAATCCACCAAACTTAAATAAACCATTTCTGCTTATATAAAGTCACAACTAATGAGAAAACAGAAAAGTTAATTAAACAATAAATGATGCGGCCCTCAAGCCACCAAACAATCAGTTTGGATTTGCCTGATCCCTTTCCATGGACTGTGAGGTCTCCCAAAGGCCCGAGCAAGGTGCATGGTAGGGAAACTTTAATCCGTGGGTTTTAGTGCATGCAGCTGTAGGTAATTGCTAGTAACAGGGTCCTGAAGGAGTTTTAGAATATCAGACCTGGGGCAAAGATTCTCAGCTCGGGCTGCTGATCCATATGACTAAGGAGTAGAAGAAAATCAAACGGAGTTTGGAATGGCAAAAAATGAAGACAAAGACAAAGGGAATGGGTAGTAATTTTCAGGTCTCTATTCAGACTCCTAAAATGGTTTCTTAGGGTATTTCTATCTGCTATTGTGTGCATTTATTGGACATTTAAATGATATAGAAGAGGATTTTATTTCCTTGGGAATAATTTAATCAGTGACTAATCTTTTGTCAAGTGGTTACAACCAATATTTTTAGATGTGTGTGTGTGCTCACATGTAAGTTTATTACTTATGTGTATGTAATAAGCAGAGTCTTCAGATGTAACTCAGATTTTATACTGTCTATTTTCTGAGAATGTTAGCTTATAAGTGATTCTAGTCAACTTGGTTTATTTATGTAGCATTTGCCTAAGATCATTTGAATAAACGTATTTATCATAGAACCCCAATTGTTATATACTATAGAAATATAACACACTAAAGTTTGATCACAATCAACTGAAGCATTAGATATGCATGTAACATACATATGCAAAGGTATTTATAATTATTTAAATAAATGAATTACAAATAATCTTAAACACATATACCACTGCCATGATTCATTTGGTAATAACATTTTTTAAAATAAAGTAGAGTAACCAAAATTGTTTCGAAATCAGGAAATGAAGATTTCCTGATTTCGAAACAATTTTGGTTACTCTACTTTATTTTCACATGTTTATTTCAGGGACAGAATATTTAATCAATTTAGTCAAAGGTAGTACCAATGTGGCCAGAGTAATGTCAAAGAATCTTTAAGACTTACATATATTAATTAAACTCATTAGTCAAAGTTGAGTAGTGAGATCTCAGCTGAAAGACAAGAAGCTAAAGAAATAACCAAGGTAGCTGGGCTCGGTGTCTCAGCCTGTAATCCCGCGCCTTTGGGAGACTGAGGTGAGTGGATTGCCTGAGCCCGTGGGTTCGAGACCCACCTGGGCAACTTGGCGAGACCTCATCTCTACAATAAAGCAAAAATTAGCTGGGTGTGGCAGCGCGTGCCTGTAGTTCCAGCTATTGCGAGGCTGAGGTGGAAGGATCACCAGAGCCCAGCAGGTCGAGGCTGCGGTGGCCGGGAGCGGCCACTGCACTCCAGTCTGGGCGACCGAGTGAGACTCCAACTCAAAAAAAAAAAAAAGAAATAACCAAGGTGATTGTCCCAACCTTGAGGGGTTGAGACACTGACAAAGTGATGAGTATCTGCACAGTTAAGTAATTAGTGTGGGTTAAGATATAGATTAGAAGAGAGAATGTGAAATACTGCTATGGACTGAATAACAGAGGAGAGTCTATCATGGTTGGCTACCTTAGTGAGAGTAATTTAAGTAGGGCTTAAGCAAAATTCTGACACTCAGATCAGATGGGAAGTGAGAAGGGAGCTAAAATGAACTTATTTAAGACACTGTGTTAGGTACTGGACTTACACTGTCTAACTAAACAAAAATATCTCCTATGGAATCGATCATGTATTGGCAAAGAGCATTGACACTTTGGAGAAGTTTGAATGCTCAAAGGGAGGTCAATTTGGGGAAAAATTTAAGAGAATAGTGGCATGAGGAAGGATTGTTTTGTTTTGATTTTTGTTGGTTGAATGTTTTCAGGATTAGAGAAACATAAATGTGTTTGACTCCTGCCTGTGTGGAAGAAACCAGGGAAATCGAGAAATGAAATCTAGAAAAGAATAGCTGATTTAATAAAACTGACAAAGAAATGTAAAGTGCTGTCATTAAAATTTAATATAACAAATTATTTGGGGAAACAAGAAATAGAGGATAGGTAAAGAGACAAACATATTTAAGATCTAAAGAAGAAAAATTCAGTGATGTGCACAGCAGATAACTTCATCTTTTTTTTTTTTTAATAAGCCAGGGGACTAATCCATCTGAAAACAAGAAAGTTGGGGCAAGGTTTGAACCCACGTAGAAAAGAGATTTTGAACAATTGTGAAAGATCTGGAACATTTTAAGTGGCCAAATTCCACTGAGGGCCATGTAGGGTCAGGAAGCATGGTCACCTTGAAAATGTCTTAAGATGTATCCCCAAACAGACATAGCTTTTGTCTATATGGAGCATTTGATCTTCTGAAAGGTATATCCAATAATCAGATAATCATACAAATAAATATTCACTCAGAAACTAGCAAGGAAAATATGACAGGGGATAGGGTTGGTAGATAATTAGAAGGTTAGAGAGAGCCAGTGACTGACTTTGGGTTCAGAGAGGCAAATAAAGCTAAGAGTGGTGTCAAGGTGATGGAGAAACATAAATGAAGAGGAAATAACAGGCGAGGTCGGAGTCAGGGAGTGAAAGAAGAAGCAACACACGCAGCTGCTGTTGGAAAGCAGGCTTACAAAGCTTTTCTGGAAGCCAGAGACTTAGGAGAGACAGAGTGACTCCAGGCAGAACTGCAATTTGTGTGCTTAGAGGAGCACAGGTGAGTGCACCAGCCCCCACTCACCAATGAGCCCTTGGCACATGCCAAGCATCCATCAGTCACCCATGCTGATTCACCAACATACCCTACTCTGGGCAGTTTAAGGCCAGTTTGACTTCTTCTTTCCATTTCTTAAAAGCGATTCCTCTGGTACTCACGTACATTCAGTGCATTGGACGATGTTCCAGCTTCCTCGGCCCTGCTCTCTCTGGGTGATCTTGCAGTCTCTCAATAAGGAGAACCATTTCTAGGAAAGAGACAAAATTAAAAGATGGCATTACAGCTAAGGAAGTTAGAAAATAGCCTAAGCAAAGTTATTTGAAATTAAAACCTAGCTAATAGAGTAACCTCCAGGGAACAATTTATATTTCTACACAGTATGCTTATCCAAGTGTATATTCATTCTATCATATGCCATGCTTGAGGCTTTTCCCAGAATATAAAAGGCTTTTTGTAAAATGATGGTAATGATAATATTTGGCTCTGGAAAAACATCTCACTTTATCAACTTTGTCTTCTAGTGAACTATCTAGTTACCCCTGCTTCCTTTGCACAGTCTATTTTTGTCAAATGAGTTTATTCCTTATTTGAGCATGTCTTGCCTTTTCACGCTACCATACCATTTCTCATGCTATCTTATCTGCCTGAAATGCCACTATTCTGTTGTTCATTTATATTTCTCATCCAACAAACTCATAGTCACTCTTTAATACCCAGCTCAAATATTTTTTCTTCCCTGTGGTCACCAATCAAAATTAATCTCCACTTCATCTGTAATCTCACAGACCTTTGTGTGTTATATATTATCAGACTTATAACTGGTGTTCTTCATTCTATCTCCTTGCCTTGAGTTTTGAAGGGAGGAACAATGTTGTGTGTGTGTGTGTGTGTGTGTGTGTGTGTGCGCGCGCGCGCGCACGCTCATGCACAAGCACACACACACACGCTTTCTTTGTGTGCCCTGTGCATATAACAGGCTTTCATTGTCTGTCTTGTATATAACAGGCATTCAGATATAACTTTCAGTTGCCTCATACTCTATCCTGGAGCAAATTGGCTGTTTAGCTGGTACTGCTATAGTTAAACCATAGGAATTTAATATTTCTTTCCAATTAGAATACATTTATCCCTTTGCTCTAAGGCACCATTTATTCAACTTTCCTCCCCCGGGGGGTTGTCCTCTCTGAGTCTCCTCGGAGGTTTCCTAGTCATTCCTTCTAGTGCTGTAAGCAAGATAGCTCCACTCTTAACCATCTTCTATTTTCTATCAGACTAACTCCCTTCCAGGTCTGATCCAGATTTACGACTCTAAACTTTCCAGCCTGTACATCACTTTTTAAAAGCTGTATTTCTGGGTGTGGCAGCTCAAGACTGTAATCCTAGCACTTTGGGAGGCCAAGGCAAGAGGATTGCCTGAGCTCAGGGGTTCAAGACCAGCCTGGGCACCTTGGTGAGACCTCATCTCTACAGTAAATCAACAGGTAAGCTGGGCGTGGTAGCGCATGCCTATAGTTCCAGATACTTGGAAGGCTGAGGCAGTAGGATACCATCTATATATCTGAAGTTGACAAATTCACATTTTAGTTGAGTTCTTACACCAAGTGCCATGCTTGAACCCAACTGTCTACCTGATGTCCCACTTAGAGTGCTAATGGATAATTTAAATTTAGAATATTCAGGACTGAGCTCCCTCCACCAGCACTTTTCTCCTCTTACCATTTCCTCTCAGGTGAGAACAACATCCTACAATTTTCTTACTCAAGCATACTTGGAGTCACCTTGACACTATGGTTTCTACCAGACTCGGTATCAACTATGGCTCCAAGTTCAAAATATATTTAAATTGTATATAAATAAGATCACTTTATTCCACCTGCACATCTAAAATCCTGCCTCAAGCCACTCCAGGTCTCTTGAGTTATGGCACGGGAGTATTGATTTATTCTATCCCTTCCACTTGTCTAGTTTCAAAATGGCAGCCAGAGTGATTCCATTAAAAGGTAAACCAGATTACGTTTTTTCTTTACTCAAAAACTTCCAGTAGCCTTCATCTTATTGCTATAAAAGCCAACATCACTAAAAGGATCATTGATTCATGCCCCATATGAGAGCTCTGATGGCCCTTCCTTGGTTCTTCTGCTCACGTGTCTATGGCCTCTTGGGTGGTGCTCAAAAGCTTCAGGAATGTTTCCTCCTCTTGGCTTTGCTTTTGCTGTCTGTCTCCTCTCCCTGAAAAGCTCTTTCCTTTATCCAGATGAATCTCCTGCACATCTCCATTGTGCTGTTGCTTCAATTCATTTATTTATTCTGCGAGTGCTTTCTTGTCTGTCTTTCTAAACATGCTACATCTCACTCCTGGAACTGCTTATTCCTGTTCCCTTCTTATTTTTTCGTCAAGCACTTTCTGTCATCTAGCATACAAAGTCTTTTGCAAATAGATGTTTGGAAATTGTTCTTCCCTTTCCCTTAAGCAAGAAAACCCCATGCAGTTGGGGATTTCCATTAGTTTTACTCACTACTATACTTCTGGTGCCTTGAATAACAAAATATATCTAAAAACTGGTATGTGGTAGAGGATTCAATATATTTTGTTGATTAGAGAAATGGTGTCATTCTGAACAGATTGCTAAATAATTTTTCAATATTATTGGCCCTCAAATTCAGTCCTTTCACAGCTTCCTCTACTGTCAGATGCAGAGGAAAATCTGGTCTCTTTATTGGTATTATCATCTGTGTCTGCACTAACAGAACAGAGTCTTGTCTGCTTTACACAGTCATACGCCATGTAAAGATGTTTCAGTCAACAACAGATTGCATGCACGACAGTGGTCCCATGAGATTACAATACTATGTTTTTAATGTACCTCCTCCATGTTTAGATCTGTTTAGATACACAAATACGATTGTGTCATGATTGCCTACAACATTCAGTACAGTAACATGCTAAACTGGCTCATAGCCTCAAAGCAATCGACTATGCCATCTAGCCTAGGTGAGTAGTCGCTAGGCCACCAAGATTTGTGTAAGTACACTCTATGGTGTTGGCACAATGACAATGACAAAATCTCCTAACAACACATGTCTCAGAATGTACCTCATCATTCAGCTACACGTGATCATATAAAGAAAGGTTATACTACTGGAGAAGGGATGTGGTCTACTCTTTGGGTAGCTAGAAAGTTACTGAATAAGTGAGTTTATTCTTTCAACTTCAGAAAATCTGGGGTCTAATTCATGTTCCACCATCTTTTGTTCATGCAACTTCACTCTGAGTCTTAGGTCCTCAGCTGTAGAGCTAGCATAATAACATATTTTCAGTCACTCTGACAAGGGAGTTGTGTAATAAAGGGGAACAATCAGTTCAAATGTGATTTGAGTATTGAAAAGTACTAAATACGAAATGCCAAAGGGAATCTGTAACACAGTTAAGCCTTATCTCAATCCTGAGAAAAATTTTGTATTGCCACAGATACATAGAGCTTAGCTTCAGTGATTTTCAGATATTTGACTTAGTGTATAAAGTTAAATTACAGTGGGCCTAATATCAGAATTAGGTCTTTTGAATTATAAAGTAGGTCATTTTCCAGAATAATAAGTATTATTAAGCCTTTTAAAAGGCATCTTATATTTACCTGTTTGATATAACCTACAGAATATGCCATATTTTAATAATAAAATTAACAATAATAACAATAGTACCTAATACTTTTAAGCACTTACTATATATCAGGCACTGCTTTAACCACTAATACCATGTATTATTCCATTTAATTTGTAACCATGTGTAGTTGTCACTATAATCATCTCCATTTAAAAGTGAAGAAACAGGTATTGAATAATTAAATAATCACAGGGACATAAAACCAGTAAATGGTAATACTAAGATGCCAATCTAGGTATCTTTTTCATACAAAAACAATTTTAATTTAAAATTAGAATGAAATCCTCTGGAGTCAACAGAGCAGAGTTCCAAAAAGCCAATCACTCTTGACTGAACTGGGAAAGTTTGGGGAGCGTCTGCAGGCCTAATAATGAATTCAAAGCAATGTTATTGATACCACAGTAACATTTGCTAATATCTGAGTACTTTTTGTAACTCATTCGTTGCAAAGCACTCCGTCTAAGTAATCCACTCTTCTTTTCAATAGTTTCTGTGAACTGATTCATTGTAATGCTGGAGAGTAATCGCAGTCATTCATTCTGTGATTATCAAGTGCCAATAAAATAGTTATGACAAAGATCAATCTAGTTGGAAGCACCACTGCCTGAAGTCGTTTAAAAAGAATCACTTGAGGATGTTCTTTCAGTAGAAAGCATTGGCAGAAGGGGGCAAATGAACAGGCCCATGTCTTCCTCCAGTTCTGACAGTTTGTTTTCTCCTGATAAACAGCTATCCTGGCAGGAAAAAAAATCTTAATATCCTTCTGACCTTTCTCCATTTGAATGAGCGCACCACAATGATTCTGAACCGTCACAGAGAAAAGATCTAGGAGCAGGGTGAGGGAATTCACTCTACTTGACAACAAGCTTAGGAACTGCTTTACAATATACTTATCACACACCTCATAGAAACTTGGAACAAGTCATCATCTTTACCATTATAATCACATTATAATATGTGCCCAATATTACGGTAAGCACCTTATATGATTTATTTTGATGATGAGTTATATAGATGTTTGGAAATGTCATTGCTAAGTTTGAGCCAGGTAAGGCCTCTTCTTACATAGATAAACGTGGTATCCCTAAAAATACAACCTAGGTGAGGTAGACTTGATTACACCAAGCCATATAAGTAATATCACAGCCGAAGAACTCTCGCCTGGTGCTCTATCATTCTTCTAAGAGGGCTGTTCTTGTTTGCACAGCCCCTAAGAGGTCAGTGTCGTTATCTTTAAATGAGAGAATCATTTAATTGGATGAATTTCTAAGCTCCTTTCAAACTAGAAAAATACAATGTAATGATTCTATCTTGCAAATGCATGCATTGGACACAATATGAAATTGATAAAACTTGAGAATTCTACTGAAGGTTAGTTAGCAGGTAGGTACCCACACGGGACTTGGGCAAATAGAGAAAATGTATCCAGACACTAAAATGATACTCATATAATATATAATGTTATGTACACATATTTATGATACAATATCAAGTGAAAACATTTAAATCGTACTTATCCTATGATTATATCTGTATATTATATAGGCTTTATATGTGCCAACCCACAAAAACAAGATGGAAGAAAT